CACAAGATTAATGCAGGTAAGGTCCTGTTCTGTTTACAGCGTCTCTGCTCTGATCTAAAAACAGAAAAGGGGGTTGTGCTTATGAACTGAAAAGGTGCAGCAGCGCAGAGCTAGAGAGATACATGCATCTGCTGAGGGAAAAAAAGCTAAAGAAACTCAATTGCAATTTTATTGTCCGGCGTGATAGATTTCCTGCCAACTCTGGAGTAGGAGAGCTGTTTGTCACTGTTGCTCTCCCTTTCAGCTGCAGGGGCTGACTGTGTGTGTGTGTGTGTGTGTGTGTGAGTGTGTGGGGGGGGGGGAGAGACATTGTGTGTAGAATAGAAAGAGCGTGTGTTTGCATCTTAGTGATGCACAGTATATGTGAGTGCTGAATGGTATGTGTGGTTTTTAGGTTGTAGTATACAAGATCTCCAGATCCCCATGTTTGAACACATTTAATATTCATCTCAAATGGCCTTGGCAAACATTAGGACAAGTCCTCATAAATTCAACCAGCCTTTTGGGAACCCCCTGGTAAATAAATACATGCTCTTGGGCAAACATACGTATATTTAGACAAGCATGCAAAGCTTGTTTTTTCTCCTCACCTGCTCAATTGTTTTTCCAGTTTACTGTAGAGTGCTGTCTATCAGAATATTTCTTAAATATATTATTATAACATAAACATGAAATATTTCTTAAATATATAATTTTATATTGAGTTCATTCTGTGACTACAGTTCATTTTCATTACATAATAATACTCTTAACACAAAGATTTCAGCAAGTGTGCTGTTGTCTGATTGTTGCTTGCTTGTGTTTTACTGGGCATGTGTGTTTAAAAAGAGATGAAGTCTCCTTTCCAGCCAACCCATTGTAGGCAGACAGATGTTTCCGCAGATGGGCCTGCTGACACCACAGCTTACCCAAGGTGCCTCTGTCCCAGCACTGCACATAAATGAGACTGGCTCCACACAGTTACTGTAGGGACAGTTTTCTGCTGCAAGTGATCACCTTGTGAAAGACTTGGTGCCCTCTATGCTTTCCTAGTCAGCACTCTTCTGTTCCTCTAAAGAACATCTTAATGGGTGAAGGAGACGTTGTAATGGTCCTGCAAAAGTGGCTGCTCTTCTGGAGCCCTTAGTTTCCTTCTAGAATGCTCTATTGAGAGTTCTGTTATCTCATCTGGGGCATCACACTATGCTTTTGTGTTCTCCAAGGGAAGAAGAAAGTATTCTGAAGCAAAGTCATGAATTAGCATATAAGCATTTATAAGAACGTATTTATTTAGAGCACATTATTTCAGCATCATATTGGCTAAGAGCCTTTTCCAGTGGTGCAATATTCTAGTAAATACAGAACTCCAACCATTTCACCGTTTGTATCACTCCGGTTGCAGTATTTCTCACAGCAAGTGTCATGGTGGATGCCCAAATCCACTATAATGTTATAAATAGTACTGTTTTGGTGTTACAGAATTTAGTTTTAAGAGTTGGGTGAAAATGTACTTGTTTAGACTTCAAATATGTGATTTATTAATAAACACAATGACTATATGAAAATTTGCTTCACTGCTTTCGGAGATGTGAGCTCCAGGGCGTCAGCGGCTGTTCAGCGCTCAGCTGTATTTTTGACTGAATTGCCTAGCAACTTTTATGATGGCTGTTGTTGTTTATTATATATTATTATTATTCAATAAATAATATTTTATGTAAATAATAATAGTATTTAATAGTAGTTTTTAGTATTGGGAAATCTTGTGTGTGTTCCTGATGGTTCTAAACTGACATTTTCAAATTAGCGACGAGGCTTGGTCTCAGCTGTAAACTGTCAAACTGAGATTTGAATCTATGGCGGAAGGAAGTAGTTCCACACAAAAGGGGTTTTTAAAGACATTCCGTTGTTGTTTTTTATGTCTTTACACACTCATGCGGTCAAACTGTTGTATAAATGCAATATCACACGAGTAGCCGTGTGATATGGCTGTATATCAGCACAGCTGTGATTACTGTACCTACGGCTGAATCACGTGCTGATATACGGCCATATCTCACTGCTACTCATGTGATATTGCTCATATATAAACTAAAAAATTGTAATTGTATTATATCTTGAGGGTGAATTGTGTGATTATCTTGACCTATACTTTATGCCACTATTAATATCCCTTACCCATTTTTGGCCTCTAGAAAGTAAAGAGACTTTATGGTGTTTTATAGGAAGACTTCTTATACCCTGCAGCTCAAGCAGTACCTTCTTTTCAATCTTTATTTTCTTGCACTTTCTTAACATTCTTAACAATTCTTGTTAACCAACAAGAAACAGATTTAAAAACAAAGATGCTTGTCGTCTTTGACAGTTGTGTGATTCTGGGCCTAATGGAGATGTTGGAAGGAATGACCTGCCTATCTAACAACGTCAAGCCTATTTTGTGGTGTCATGAAACTGCTTATCGTACTTGACAACAGCAATACTATGGATTTAGAAGACAATGGGATCCAGTACTGGAACATTGCTTGTAAAGATAGAGGCATGCCTGCAGTCAGTCTGTATTGAATAAACTCATAGGCTGGCATGAAAACTGGCCTTAGAACATGGATAACATTGACAGTAACATTGACATTGACAGTGATAAACCATTCACTTTCTTGACATTCATTTTGCAAGCTTATCATACCATCACAAAAGCAAAGCTTAAAGAATTTCCTGAGTGTTTTATGACCAACCTTTTTTATTTAGCCATCGTACAGAAATTTCTATGATGGCAATCTCTTTCATCTTAGTATTATTGTATAGTAGCTTAGTATTATTATTGTATTATTGTAAGCCCAGCTAGTGAAAAAAATCTGTCAGTGGATCAAAACTAAATACATAGTTTTGCTTCGCAGGTGCTTTTGCTGCTTTTAATGTTATATTTAGATTTTTAAAACAAGAGAGTCATTCTGCTTGTCTTTCCTGAGTTTCTCTTTGTGTACCTTTATTGTACACTTATGCAGACAGCTGTGAGAGTATCGAAGGGAGGGAAAAAAACTAACAGTGTCTTTTGGACAGAAAAGAAGGGATTCAGTCTACTGACCACATTGATTTTTGCAGGAATGGAATCACATTTAGCTAATCCAATTAGAGCATTCTCAGGGTCCCTATTTCCCCTTTGTTTTGCGGTTACTCACTATCTATTGATCTAAATGGGGCTCCCTACCAGCCCTACAGTGAGAGTCTGGCTGACTGCTCCCTGCTGATCTAAGATCAGTGATTTAAGCGCTGTGTCTGTCTGTTGCTGAGCTTGCAGTCTGATTGCTGCAAGTTCTGCTGGATCATCAGTCTGATGCTGGATGAATCTTCCCTTGAATTAGGGATGCATGCATGTATTTAATTATCTATCTTGTACTTAATTTTTATTTGTTAATTTTGAATTTTTGGCTGGTAAAGTGCAGTTTTTAGCCTGGTGATTCAAAGCTCATTGTCATGTTATGAAAACCTGCACTATATTCTTAGATGAATTGTAGGTTTTTCCATGCCCCACGTCTAGTTTAGAAAGTTGACTGGAATTAAATAAGATGAGATTGAAACTGATGTCTAGCCCACCCGGTGGCATACAGACTATATTTCAAAACCACATTTCTATAGTTACCCCCTTTCCAGAGTAACTTTATCTCTACAACACACCAAGGGCTCACCATTTGCCGGTTATAGTAAGGTAACTAATGCTTTTCACATGACGTAATACTTTATTGGTACGATACGCATTGTAGCGAGCTGCCAGACAATGAGGTGCTTTTAGTGTGCATATGAGGATTTTTTAAACATTTAACAGCATATGGTATACTTACTGATTCTTGAAGATAATACCTAACAGGAAAATATGGGGCCTCATGTGCAGCTTTTAAACCCTTAGTGGTTTACATGAGTTCTAACTTTCATTTTTCACAAATCCTCAAATGCCTTGCAGGCCTTCCAGATATGTTTGGACGTTTATTCGAAATTTAGTGGTTTTATCTGTAAGGCTCCGTCCCTTCATATGGTATCTAATCACAGAATGTGAATGTTTTTCTGAAAATGCACCGTGTGGATTTAATAGCTAAATGTTAAATGCCGAATTGAGCCCATACTAATGGTCTTGCTAAGAAGAGAGTCAGGAGAGAAAGAAAACTAGCAATACATTTCAGAGCTGTCCATTCAGAGCAAACAGCCATGGATTACCAATCAGACCACATGGAAGATTAATGGCCAGGCTTGTAGCAGGCTAATTTAGAACAATAACGGCCAATTAATTACGTATAATAAGGCTTTCTTGCCTAAATGCAAATGCCGGCATTGGTGTGGAAGCTGCAAGTTGTTTCTCGTTTCCCCAGTGGTGTGTTTGACTTTCTGTCTGTTGTGTTCGTTTGATAAATTGAGGTGTGTTTTGGTGTGCTCAGACTTCTGTATCTGCAGATGCTATGCACTGTCTGCTGCTAATTGTAGTCCTAAATACACATAACCATCTCTCTTTTCACAGTATTTTTTATTCCTGCCTGGTCAGGCTATAGTTCAGATTTTTATTATTGTTATTATATTTTTATATTCAATAATATTTTTTTTTGAAGTGCCAGAATACATTTTTTAATATATATAAATATTAAGATCTCTTTATAGGACAAATTCATAACAAATAACATATTGAAATATTAATCACTTTAAAACGTAAATAATTAGCAGTAATTTGCAATAATAGCTTATTTTAAAGCTAAAATTGTACAGTGTAGCTCCATACATAAAACTTGACAGGAATCATTAAATAAACACATGACATAAACAAATGTTCTCCTGAGTCTTGACCCTAGTGGCATTTATACATATATATATATATATATATATATATATATCAATGCCATATAGTCGTATAATATATTATTATATCTATATAGTACTTCTATATTATACTGTATGGCAGTTAGTTTGATCTGATTGAGAATGTACTTTTTGCTCCTGTGCATAATTAACATTCCTTCAAACTCTCTTACTGTCTGTTTCATCAGGTCACCTTTGAGCAACACAAAGAGAATCTGGCCCACATGTTCCTTGAGTACCAGCGGATGGGTTCTGAGGAAGGATCTGAAAGCAGAATCAGAACTGTATCTGGAGCCAGTCACGATTCTCAGTTCCTTGCCTCAACCAATGGTGAGCTGAATGCTGACGAGACGGCTCCATCTACAGTAATTGAGCTACGTGTTGAGGAGAAGGTCACTGATCAGCCTGGAGACAATGAGGAAAACAGGGCCCAGATCCCAGTCACAGTGTCCAATATTCTGGCCAGAGATGAGGAAGAGAGACAGACAGATACCATTGCCACCTCACCAGAGACAAAGAAAGGGGATAAAGGTGAACAGGACACTACGAAAGAACCAGGAAAGGATAATGAAGTGCAAAATATGGAGGCTGACATGGATGGAGAGCATGAGAGAGTGGAAAGAGTTGAGGCTGACATCACAATGACTAAAGGTAGGGTAAACGAGAAGGAAAGAGCTGATCTGAGTGTAACAGATGATGTGGACAATACTCAGACTGCAACCAACAAGGATGCCAGAGTTGAAACTGAAGTTGTGAAGATATCAGATGAAGATGATGGTAAAACAAGCACTGCTGAAACTGTACTAAATGTTCAAGTAGAAGATAAAGAAAAAAGACCTGGAGATTCTTCTCCTGAAGCTGTAAAGGAAGCTAAAGTGGAAGAAAGTTCTGAGGCTTCGGCAAACCAGGAGACCAGCAAAACTGGGTCCTCCATCACGGATGAAGATAGCACAGATGTTTCCTCAGTCAGCAACTTAGTGAAGGTCAGTGATGACAGCACAGAGGAGTCTTCTTATGTTTCAGCTACAGCGGGTGAGACTGATGACAATGGTGCAGAAAAGGAAGACGATGGGAAAGAGAAAGAAAAGAAGCTGGAAACCGAAAAAGATGAGAAGCCATTACAAAATGAGAAAGTAGAGGAAACCAAGGCTGAACCAGCTCCCATGGTGGAGGTGGATTTAAACCAAAGCACCTCTATCGATGAGACCAAGCTTCACAAAGAGACTACAGCTGGTCATGGTGCTGTTGAGGCTGAGCAAACCCCAGAAGTACTTCCTCCAGATTTGTCCAAGGTGTCTGCGGCAGAGGTTAGCCCTTGCGCTGAGAGTATCTCACAGGATCCAGGAACTAACCAAGACACTCCAAAGGCAGCAGGGACTGAGACCTCAGCAACTAAAACCAAAGAGATTAAAATTGCTAGACTGGATGTGTCAAGTGTGGCCTCAGACACAGAGAGATTGGAGCTGAAGGACACCTCAACAGTAAGTTTTGCAATATTTATAACTGAGGAACATGATACCAGGTTGAGACCTACAGAAATGTACTAAATTTATTGATTATATGAAAAACTGAGATTTTTCACAGGGCAAGAAAATGACTTTCTCTTTAGGTCACACAAAACTAATTTTAGAAGAATAATTGTGTATTTTTTGCAGAATCTGAGCGCAAATCAAGCAGCTGCCTCAAGCCCCTCAGGTCAGGGCAATGAGGGCTCGTCTTCGGCACGGTCCACTATGTTCCGTATCCCAGAGTTCAAGTGGTCTCATGTGCACCAGCGCCTTTTGACTGACCTGATGTTCTCTATTGAGACTGATGTGCAGATGTGGAGAAGGTGAGAGAAACACCAGGAACCAAAGATCAAATAGGCAAAGGGATAAAATATCTATATGATAGCTTTTTGTAAAATCAGTATTGATAAAACATATTTATTAACAACCTTTAGGTGTTTAATCTAATTGTTGTTTGAGAAATCCAGTCATATCAATAGTATCCACACAATCAGGAATTTTTTTTAAGGGTGTAATGTGTTTTTTTTTTGTTTGTTTTTTATAATCGACAGATGCTATTCATAGTTATAGTTAAAAATAAAAGTAAAGTATGAGAATGTTGATTACCTTGAATTACCCTTCTACTGCCTCACAGACAGCTCCCTTTGATGTTTTAGTAAGTTTCATAACTTCTTTTATCATTTCATAATTAGTTTTCTCACTTCTCCCCACAGTCATTCAACTAAGACAGTTATGGACTTTGTGAACAGCAGTGAGAACGTAGTGTTTGTGCACAACACTGTCCATCTAGTCTCTCAGGTGGTGGACAACCTCATCATGGCCTGTGGAGGAATCCTTCCTCTGCTGTCTGCAGCCACCTCTTCTACGGTTAGTATGTTTGTGTGTTTCCATCAAGTTCACTTTGGCATCTCAAGTGTTGTGGCATGATGTAATGCATTTCCCGTGCCACTGATGTGTTTCAGTCCCGCTAAAGGACAGTTAGGACAGTTAGGTTTATTGAATTTGTCCAATCAGTAGTGTTTCAGGAGGGGAATGGCCTGCACATTTGCATTCAGATCCATTCCTGTATGGAACGACTTATACTGTTCACTATCCAATCAATTTCTGATAGAAAAGCTATACCCCAATCAACATATTTGTTTCTCATTAAATATCCTGTTTCACTCAAGATGCCATTTTACAAAAGTAAAATGGGTTGCAGACACAGTTTCATGTTGACTTCAAATCCTATCTGCAGCCTTTGCCTCATACAGGAAATGTCTAAAAAAAATCCCAAGCTCCCATATTTTTCAAGATCCTTGATGGTTTCCCATGCCATTCACAGCAGCTCTCACATCAGAGTAAAAGGATCATTTCAGTCAAGTCTGAGAGGACCCTTAAATCATGGTGTGATAATGTGTACATACTAAATTAACACCGATCTCATTAGAAGAAAGTGTGCTGGCCCGTCTTAATGATGATCATTTATATTCTTACTTTAATGATTTTGTGTAATTTGATTACAATAGCCATGATAATGAAAAGTGAGGGCGATGATAAAGGTGACCATCAGTACATTATGAAGGTTTGAGTGAAGATGGCGCTGATTATGAAGGCTGCAGTTGCAGTAATGATGATGATGATGATGACACTGTCTTGCAGCATGAGCTGGAGAACATTGAGCCATCTCAGGGTTTGTCTGTGGAGGCGTCACTGATGTTCTTGCAGAGGCTGATCAATCTCGTGGATGTGCTGATCTTCGCCAGTTCACTCAACTTCACAGAAATCGAAGCAGAGAAGAACATGTCCTCTGGAGGAATCCTAAGACAATGCCTACGTTTGGGTATATTGCTCTCTTTCTGTCTTTTTCTTTAGTGCTAAGGCTTGTTATTTATCTATTAAGGCTTGTTACGGTAGCTATTGCTCATATAACTAAACTAATAAACTTTGCCATGCAACCTAGAGGTCTGCGCGGGACTGTTTTTTTAGTCCCGCTCCCGCAAGGTTCTATTCCGCACCCACCCGCTCCTGCTATATATTCACTCTTTGTTCACCCGCTGTCCGCTTAGAATAATTTTCTTCCCGACCCAACCGTTCCCGCTAAATTTAGATCTCGTTTCCAGAATCTCACATTTAAATTTCCGCTACTGAAAGAAAGAGAGATAGGCTAACAAATAAAAGTGTAGTCTGCGCAAAATTTTTATTTTATTCGTCTTGTCAAGAATTTATTGACTTTGACTTGAATTTATATGAATTATCTTAAGACACAAAATTGGTTTAATATTTAATGCAACACAGTAGGAAAAAAAAGTGTCAGAAAATAAAAATGTTGTACAAAAATTTTATTTCTTATTTTTATTCGTCTTGTCAGGATACAATTCGTTTGACATTGACAACACAATAGGGAAAAAGTGTGGCAGAGAGAAAAAATAAATAAAATGTAGGTTGTACAAAAATAGCCTATTGGCTATTTTTATTCGTCTTGTCAAAATACTAAATTCGTTTGACATTTTTCTGTTAACACAGTAGGAAAAGTGTCGCAGAGAAAAATAAATAAATACGACATCTTTCATTTAAAAATAAATTATAGGCTAAGCAAAATATAAACAAAACCGAGTTGAACGTCCTTTAAGGACAGCGCATCCACACGTTGCTCCATCCTTATTCTGCTCTGTCACTCATCGACAACCTGCCTGTTCTGTCTGAGGGCTGTATATTTACCACAGGTACAGCCTGCTCTGAGCATGGTTATGCACATGCTGCGCACAGACCACGCAAATAAAACGTGTGACGTTTAAAACATGCGTGCAGCGCGTGCATCCTGAGCGCAATATGCTGTTCTAAATGGACGTCGGGAATGGAGTATTGATAGACCACCCGCTCCCGTTCAAATGACACTAGAGTTACCGACCGCTACTGCGTTTTATTCAGGAATTTAATCCCGCAGCGCAAAAAATCTGGTCGGGTCCCGCGGGAATGCAGACCACTGATGTAACCTGCCCCACACTGTTTGAACTACGAACACGTATTTGTACAAATTGTGTGGCTTGTTGTGAGGAGGTGGGCTTTTACTGAGCAATTGGAGATGGCCAAAAATATCCCATAAACTTACATTGACGGTAGGATCTGAGACATATATAGGGACTTGAATCAGTAGGTAACCATCTAGCAACTGCATAGTAACATGCTAAAAATGCTCAAAACAGTAACATCCTGGCAACTATCCATGACACCCTAGAATTGTGATAGCGAGTTTTGTACGGGCAAGAAACATTTTTTTTTGTGCTAATTAGGGTCAGTAAGAATATTATTTTTGAAAGAAATCAATGCTTTTTTTCCAGCAAGGATGTGTAGGATTGATCAAAAGTGACATTTATAATGTTTAAAATAACTGCTGTTCATTTGAACTTTCTATTCATCAAAGAATCCTGAAAAAAATATATATCATGGTTACCCGAAAAATATTAAGCTGCACAACTGATTTCAACATTGATAATAATAGGTGTTTTTCGAGCAGCAAGGATCATGTGACACTGAAGACTAAAGTAATGGCTGCTGAAAATTCAGCTTTAACCATCACAGGAATAAATTACTTTTTAATAAATAAATAAATTAATTAATTAATAGAAAATGGTTTTGAAATTATAATAATATTCGAGAGTATTACTGTTTTTACGGTATTTTTGATCAAATAAATGTAGCTCTGACTGCAAAACTCCAAAAACATTAAAAGAATCTTACAGGCCCCAAGCTTTTGAATAGTAGTGAGTCACTGCTTGTTCCTCTTCCTCCATGATTGTTTCATTCCTCCATGATTTTTAAATAATGTCCTGCTCTTAATATTTTTTTCTCAACCTGTTTCTCTCAGTCACGGCCCCTCACTACTTAATGGGGAATCAACTTGCAATTGATTTTAATTGAGTTTGATGTTAGCATATGGATGAGCTAAAAGTCTGACGCTCTGAAGCGTGGAGCAGAGTCCTTTTTTGCTCATTGATTTCTCTCTATTGGCTCATTTGGTAGAGGTAATAACTGCCTTTCCATTCTACCCCCCCCCCCCACCCTCTGTATTGTGTGCGCTCTCTAATAGTGTTATTATAAGCTCTCCACACTGTAGTGGTCTAAAATGAGAACCGTCATCAGGCCATTGACTGTAATGGCTGTATTGTAGCCTGAGGCACCTCCTTCTTTATGTGTCTATGTATCACAAACTGTACTGCAGCGTTATAGACCATATAACAGAAATCCAGCCGTTCAGATTGGTTACATTATTCATTTCTCTTTGAGTGTGCACACACACACACACACACACTCTACATGACCCTCCCTGAAGCTATCTAGACATCATAAAACTCCCTCTCCTCTAAATATAACACTTTTCCACTCTACTACCCCTCCGCTTTGCCACATCGGCTCTCTCGCCTATGTAACACTGAACAAAATGGCCGGCGTGTTAAATCGACTCGACAGTGTGCAGCAAGGGCAGGGCGGACCTTCCTGATTGGTGGAGTGAGAGTGAAACCGAAGCCTGTTTTTAGGAGGGCTGAAAGTATAAAATGAATATTTGATGAGGTCTGCCAGTGTGTAATCTGATTTGAGATCTGTAACAAGGTTTAGCCCGCTATCTCTCCGTCTATAGCTCTCTTTCTGTCTTTTGCTCGCTCTTTCGCTCAAATGACTAGAACGCCTAATGGAAAAAGCTGGTCGGTTCCTGCGCTGGTATAATACCTTTAATCTAAGCGTTTTGAAGTTTACATTTGTCAGTTGTCAAGGTATGAGAGGATAGAGGGTTGAATAGAGACATGCACATGCACATGCAGTCACGCACACACATTATTCTGCAATTCAAACTCATGTGCAGTACATTAAAATGAACACACACACACATGCACCATTCTAATCTTACATATAGCATGCAATACATCAAATTAAATGCAGTAAGAGAATTTTCCTGCACCATGGTGGTGGGAACCTGGCCAAAATGATTAAACACAGAATAAGCAATGTCATCTGTTTTCCAAACCTCATACAGTTTAATGTGTTTTCCTTTTCTATACTCTATACGACTGTTATGTCTTGGAGATGAATTACCTTGCAGCGTGTTTCTGTAATGTTATTCATTTGTTAATTCACATCAAATTATTTTAAACTTACGTGTTTATTTTTAGTGGTGTAGGGATGTATGATATATTGGAACTATTTTAGTTAGCGGCCAGTATTAGAGATTTTTTAATTTATCTGTATAAGTAGATATTACTTCTATACTGGTTGATATTTAATTCTGCATGCTCACTACCACTGTTTTTATATATGGATTACCGTTGCCATCATCTAACACTTAATTAAATTTAATCTTTAAAAACGGTTATAATTTAATAAGACTTAAATTATGTTTAGCCAATCGAAAATTAATATCCGTTAATTAATTAATTAATTAATTAATTAACTTATTTCTTTTATATTTTAGTGTATTACTTCTGGTCCATTTAGACAAAGTAGTATAATTAGAATTGATTATCATTTGATGACATGAAAATAATTATCGTACAGTGAAACATCACTTTTACGATAATACCTATTTATCTACGTTTAACTTATTTATTTTTTGAAGGCAGTCTCTTATTCTCACCAATACTGCATGTATTTAATGAAAAAAATACAGTAAAAGCAACTATATTTTCAAATATTATTAAAATGTAAAATAATTTTTTCTATTTTAATTAGGGGTGCAACGGATCGTAGATGATCTGTGATCCATATGGATCAGGCTGCACGGTTCGGCACGCATGTGATTTGTGGATTAACTGTTTAACCATCATAGAGTTAAAGTATATAATTTGTACGTTTTGTCTTGCCAGTTTACACATTCAAGCAATTTTAACTTGCGTGCTGTTTTCTGTGCGCTCAGCCGCTGCCGCGCACACGCGGAGTGAGAGAGACACTGCGTGAACAGCGAATTGATTCCTCTTTCACATACACACAAAGTTATGTTAAAATACCCGTTTTGGCAAGTATTCTAGTAAACACAGTCGGTTATTTAGTGAACGAAAACAGCTGAGAAAAAAAACTGGATGTGTGTCAGTATTAGGTCCGTGCATTTGGTCTTAAAGGAACACTCCACTATTTTTGAAAATAGGCTAATTTTCCAACTTTCCTAGAGTTAAACAGTTTTACCGTTTTTGAATCCATTCAGTATAGTTTCACTAGGAACTATATACTCTCTTTCCGGCGTAATAATCAAGGAACTTTGCTGCCGTACCATGGGTGCAGCAGGCGCGATGATATTACGCAGCGCCTGAAAATAGGCTTATTGGAAGTTACCTAGCTGGGGACTGCTGCACCCATGGTACGGCAGCAAAGTTCCTTGATTATTACGCCGGAAAGAGAGTATATAGTTCCTAGTGAAACTATACTGAATGGATTCAAAAACGGTAAAACTGTTTAACTCTAGGAAAGTTGGAAAATTAGCCTATTCCCGGAGATCGGCTGAATGGATTTGAAAACGGTAAAACTCAATTGTTTAACTCTAGAGGAGTTGGAAAATGAGCCTATTTTCAAAAATAGTAGAGTGTTCCTTTAAAGAGACAGCAGCCAATAAATACCTGTTTCTGTCTGCTAATCAAATAACACCACAGCTCTAACAAATATGAATCTGTATTTAACTTGTGCAGCACTATTGTGTTATTTTACACTTAATTATTACATTTCTGCACCTGAATGGTACTGTTACTGACTTTATTTGTAACTGTGTTTTGTTGTATTCATCTATGCTTGTAATTTGTGTAATTGTTCTTTTTTTATTACTAACTTTATTAGTTAAGATAGTAGTTTTTGCCGTGGTATTGAAGTACTTAAAGTAAGCTTTCACAATTTTTCATTAGTTTTGCTGGTCTGAAAAATGATCCGATCCGTGACTCAAAATCCGTAATATGATCCGATCCGTGAGTTTTGTGATCCGTTGCACCACTAATTTTAATGTATTTTAAAATTACAGGAATTTATTTCTGTGATGGCAAATCTAAAATTTCAACAGCCATTACTCCATTCTTCAGTGTCACATGATCTTTGAAAATCATTCAGATATGCTCATTATTATTAATGTTGAAAACAACTTAATATTTTGGTGGAAACTGCAATACATTTTTTCCGTCAATGTAAAAATCTTTACTGTCACTTTTGATCAAATTATGCATTCTTGCTGAATAAAAACATGAATAAAAAAAACATACTAACCCAAACTTTTAAACAGTAGTGTAAGTGTTGAACTTTATCATCCCACAACATTTGTGCTGCATACATGCATGATACCTAAAATCATGCTGCTTTTTGAGGAGAGATGTGCTATTACTTTTCTAAGTGACTAGATTTACGATGATCTGCCAGGTGGACATTAAAACATCTCTTAGACTTACACACTGAGGAGTTTAGAATATCACAGAATCTTTTTGAACATTTACAACATCTTAGAAATGCCCATATTCTTTAAAAAATAAAGTAATTTTATGATGTCTACTTGTGGCTTTAGTTTTCACTACGTTCACTCATAAGATGGTATTTTAAGCCCTTTTTCATTGTCATGCAACGACCTTCTCATATGTCATGTTTCCTTTAGTCTGTATATCTTTTCATTCTTGTACCCTTTCATCTCTATGATGTTGTCTTTTTCTCTGCATTTCTACCTCTCAGTTGCACTCTCTCTCTGTCTGTCATTCCCTCACACACTCTCTCTCCCCCTCAGTGTGCGCGATGGCTGTGAGAAACTGTCTGGAATGTCAGCAGCACACCCTGGGTAAGTCTGGTGCAGAGAGCAGCCGTGGACAGCAAAACCTTCTGGGAGCCGCCAAGTTTATACCAGCACAGGCAAGTTCAACTTAATGCCAAGGATACCTCCCTCTCTCTCTCTCTCTCTCTCTCTCTCTCTCTCTCTCTCTCTCTCTCTCTCGCCTACATAGAAATACCTTAAATATATTTTATACCAGCACAGGCAAGTTCAACTTAATGCCAAGGATACCTCCCTCTCTCTCTCTCTCTCTCTCTCTCTCTCTCTCTCTCTAGTGTCCAGATGGTAATACCTTAAACAGATTCCTCAAATAGAATCCTTTTGGTCAATGGCCCAAGGTTTGATTCTTACAGTTCCAGTAAAAAAATAAAACCCTTTTCTTCCTTAATGTGTTGTGTAACTTACACTCCATACTCACAGCTCATCTATTATTAAGAATCTTAGCAAAACTGATGCATTAATGCCTCTGTGCCTCAGTGCTGTCTACATGTGGAACAACAAACAGAAGACTCCCTAGTTTTTACAAAATCCAACTGAAATCAAATGTTGGAGCAGTGGGAAAAAGTTTTTGAAAACAGCTGTCTATGCTGAGCTGACTTTGTGATTGAGACTGTGTGAACTGTGTTTGTGTGTTTCAGAGTCCTGTGGACATTGTGACAGGAGGGATGTCTCCTATCAGAGATTTAGACCGGCTTCTGCAGGACATGGACATCAGTCGTCTCCGTGCTGTAGTGTTCAGAGATATAGTGAGTTTTTTCACTCAGTACTCATATTCAACTACTGCATCTCTGATCTGCCACTCATTTAGCTAATGTTTTGTAGTGCAGTGAAAAAAACGGTATGTGAAACTCAGGGAGTACTAGGAGATTTAAATTTTGCTTTGTTAAAAGCATAAAACGGGTCACACTTTATTTTAAGGTCCAATTCTCACTATTAACAAACCATTAACTACGACTTTTGCCTTAATAAACTCCTAATTTGCTGCTTATTAGTAGTTAGTAAGGTAGTTGTTAAGTTTAGGTATTGGGTAGGATTAGGGATGTAGAATATGGTCATGCAGAATATGTGCTTTGTAAGTACTAATAAACAGCCAATATGTTAATAGTAGGCATGCTAATAAACTAGTTAATGAGAATTGGTGCCTATACTAAAGTGTTATCAAAAAACCTATAGATTAAAAATGTTATCGCATGATTTCTCTAGTTCTCCAGAAAGAAAAAACAAGCGTAACAAGTCACTTGTAGCAGAATACATTTTTATTTTTTTTAAAGTGACTGGCCGAAGGATTTCCTGCATTGGTTTGGTTTGATTTATATTTTTTATTTTTTATTTTGTTTTACAGCCATTACTCCAGTCTTAAGTGTCATATAAACCTTCAGAACCCATTCTAATATGTTAATTTGGTGCTCAGGAAACATTACTTATTATTACTAATGTTGAAAATCTTTGTGTTAAAAACAAAAGCATTTGTTTGAAATCATTTTTATATCAATGTAAAGATCTGTACTGTTATTTTTGATCAGTTTATGCATTGTTGCTGAATTAAAAAATATTAATTTCTTTCTTTCAAAAAATAAAATAGCAATCGTATTGAGCCCAAACTTTTGAACAGTGGTGTGGCAAATTTTTACAATACTCTAACGTTTGCAAATTGTTTTGTTGTGTGCTGTGCTTTAGGAGGACAGTAAACAGGCTCAGTTCCTGGCCCTGGCAGTGGTCTACTTCATCTCTGTACTCATGGTATCTAAATATCGAGACATCCTTGAGCCAGACAATGACAAAAGACATCCCCAGCGCTCACAGTCTGTCAGGAGCACAGGTGACCACCTGAACACACACATATCACTGCTGCAAGATTGAACCCAAGGAGAACCTACAGAACAAATACTCATGCATTCAGTGTTTTAAGGAGTGGACTGAATGTGTATGTTTTTTTTGTTTTTTTTGCAGAGAGTGTTCAGTCTGATCTTGAGAATGGTTTGTCTCCCCATCGCCGGTACTCTAGTATTGAGGATGGGAAGACCTCAGTCATCACCGAGGCACAGACCGGCCCAGATGCTGTATCCGAAGCCCTGTATACTTTGTCCTCTGAAGTAAGGAGAGGTCAAGATGTCACTGATATTAACAACAAAGGAAAAAATGTTAATGTCAAGGATATTTTGAGAAGTCTCGTTAGTGCACCCTCTGATGACATCATAGTGGACCCTAGCCTCATACCGCCTGGGTTTCTGAGTGCAGTGGGCGATGCTTCCCGTGACCAGTCCGTCCAGTTCCACTCTTTTGACAGGTGAGTGGACAATCGGAATTTATAGTTCACTGGCCAATCCGTGCACACAGATCTTAGCGCTTTGCTAGAAAGGCATTTTTTTTTTTTACAACTATTGTTCTCTCTTCAAAAATTTTATTCTGACTTCATGTAAAAACAAAACAAAACAAAAAACCGTTTTCTCTTAGGGTGCTTTCACACCTGTAGATCGATTGCTTTGTTCCGAAACAGGGATTCAAATTATTACAATGTTGCTTTTTAATCTTGGTGCGGTTCGCTTTCAAATGGTAAACTTTCTAAACGGACCAAATTTGTTAATACAAGTCACGCGTGAGTAAACTGTTGTCTCATTGGTCAAAGTTCCACAGTTTATTTTCCGGGATTCCACTTAGCTGTCACAGCTGTCATCCGTCATCCGTCTTTTTTTTGTAGCTGTCCTTATATTAATTTATCATTTTGAGCAGGAGTCCAGGATTCATCGGGAAAACATTTTTAAAATGCACCTACTAGGAAGAAGAGCAATAAGATAGCATTATAAAATGAAAAAGTGCGCTTTTTTATTTTGAATGGCGAAGACGTGCTCACCCACAGACATTCACTGGTTCATTTTGAAGTATTAGCAAAACAACAAAGCTAATGGTTTTCACGGAACTTACGTAATTACCCACCATCATAAATTGTGATATAGCCTGGTTCGTTGGTCTGTTAGATCGGATTGCTTTCTCACTACAACCCAACCGCTCCAGAGTTAATTTTCAATCGAGCCGAGACCACCTCGTTCAGGCGATCTTGGACCGATTGTTTTGGCGCGGATCGAGGCGCGATGGCCATGTTCACATATGCCCAAACGAACCGTGCTAAGGGGGGAAACGCGCCAGGTTCTGAAACAACAGGCCAGGTGTGAAAGCACCATTAGATTGTGCTATGGCAGCGGTTTGTGTATGTTTTATGATGGACACCCCCGCAGTGCACCTGACTTCTACTTTGGAAGTGTGCCATTCAACACACAAACAAACAAACAGCCTTACAAAAGCAGAGCCCATCAAAACGGGCCTCAGGAGACGCATACACATCCACTTGTCCATTCCTCCACCAGTGGATTTGTGTCTGTGTTTGGGGGTTTGTGTGTGTGTGTAAGGGCAGATGGTTATTGTAAAGGAAAAAAATAACACCAGTTCAGTTGTACCGCTGTTTGTTTTACATCTAACAATAGAGCTCAACACTAAAAAGGTTCACATTTCTGCTTGCCCTGCCAAAATTTTCACTGGCTTTCTAAAAAACAAAACAAAACAAAGAAGACATGTTTTTGACCCATGTAACCATGTTACTTTGATGAATAGAAAGTTCAAAATAACTGGATTTATTTAGAATATAAATATTTTATAACATTGTAGCTTTACTGTCACTTTTGATCAATTTAATTAATTCTTGCTGTAAGTATGAATATAAGTATTAATTTAAAAATAAAATCTTACTAACCCCAATCATTTGAATGGATGTTGTGTACATAAGTGGCAGATGTCAGATTTCATGTGCACCAGTTATAAACTTTTGTGTCTTTTGGGATGTTTTTTTTTATTCTTTTGCATTGCTGTCTGTTTAAAGAGTGTAGTGTAACTGTTGCTCCACGGGGATCGCTGGGTGTGTTGGGGAAACAAGATCCATTGCTATGTGTTGGCAAATGTCTGCACTGTCTGGTTTTTATTTGCTGCATTGTCTGTGCATAAGTCTGACATAACCATAGAGGGTTTATTACAAAAAAGAGAAAGAAAGAGAAAAGAAAAAATATGATTTTATGTTGGAAATAGAAAGCAGTATGTCATACCATCTTCTTTCTGTTTACCTTTTGCTCTCTCACATCTCTTCTCCTTTCTATGTCTTCTGGGCATCTGTGAGACATCCCTCGGATCTGGCCTTGTGTTTTATCTGAGGAATGCTCTGTCAGGTATCACCACGCTGCTGGTATCAGGACAGGGATTATGCTGGCTCCTGCAAAGGATGAGCTCAAAGCTCCCAGCAGTCACTGCAACTTTCTTCTGCTGCCACCACTAAGAAATAAAGACATTCTTAGAGAGAACTTGGTCCTTCATCAGGTCTTCAGTCAAACCAAGCTTCTCTTGTGGCCTGTTCATACCAACACAAATATTTGGTACAAAAATTTGGTCAGTTTTTCACATACAATTTGTCTTTTCAGACAAGAGGTCTTCTCGAGTCCTAAAATCTGTACCCGACCCGAATCATTCTTACCCAAACCTGCATGCATAAATTAATTTTTTTAAAGAAAAACCTGATAAAAATTAAATCAATAATAAATCATGGATTCACTTGTGTTGTCTGCAGTGCTATTTACCTCATCTCTGGCGAAGGGCTTCTGCACACAGAAAAGAAAAGCCCTGCATGAACATGCAGCGTAATGAGGGGAGGGGCTTTTTCTGATGGATCTCTTATCTTTAAGATGGATTTTTGTGTGCGAGGTTACAAACGTTTGGGTAACACTTTATTGTAAGGATCGATTCTCTCTCTATTAACTAGTTGCTTATTAGCATGTATATTACTAGCATACTGGCTTTTTATTAGTACTTCTAAAGGACATATTAATGCCTTTTTCTGCATGACTGTATTTTAGATCCCTTAATCCTACCCCATACCTTAACTTAACTACTACCTTACTAACTATTAATAAGCAGCAAATTAAGAGTTTAATCAGGAAAAACTCTTAGTTAATGGTGAATATGTGTTCCCTATTCTAAAGTGTTACCAATGTTTGTTCTTATTCTACATGCTTTTCTCAAAAATGCATTTAACATGAAATGCATTTTTGCATTAAAATTAAATGCATTTAACAAGGATGTGCTGAAATGTTAATCATTCATCACTCAGTTAAGATCACTGTGACCTGATTAAATCCTGTAATTTTTGTCGTAATGTTATTTATCTGACCATAAGATGTTTAAAGTTTATTTTTATAAATATTCAAGGTAATTATAAATATTATAAAAAAAACAATTTCATTAGCTTTTCTTCAGGAATGTTCACCAATCAAGCAGTGCTTTGTAAACTAATTGCTTACGTCACAATGTTTGAAATATTTATTTTTTAAACCATGAAGGCGAGCCAATGGATATCATATAAGCAACGTGCAAACTTTGCAAGAGTTATGCTGGTGAACATCTTAATTTCAGTCAATTCACTATGCAGAAAGTGAAAGTAAAAAGGGAATGATGCAGCTTTCTGCGTCTGACGCCACATATTCTCTCAGAGACGACGAGAGACGAATCTACTTCAACATAGGCTAAAAACGGTATATAGCTAACTGTTTTATTTTATTCCCTTAATATTTCGCTTGTGGCCCATACACAGTGAAAAAAACTGAGAAGAAAGGTATTTCGTGTTAAACAGGTTGTTTTTGAAAGTCGGTGCTTGAAATAGGCTAAAGGTTTTTATTTCATTGATTTTTATTGATGACTGCAGTGTTAATATTTTAATTAGGCTTATAGGCCTATAATTCTTTGTTTAATAGACCTGTTTTAAAATACCTTTTTTAAAACATTTTAATTGAGGAGTAAATAGCCTAATCATTTGTTATTCTCACAGTGCGCAGTGCAAATTAATTGTAATTTTAATTTAATAATAAAAGTAACTTCATAATAATAATAAACCTAATAAAAATAAGAATGTAACAGGCTACATCAATTGGAAATGCTAAATCCTCTTAATATTGCCAATAATTGATGTTTTTGACAATATCTCTGGCTATCGTCGACAAGATCATCGTCTTTCGACATACCCCAGCAAGGGGAGGTTATCGCTGGGCAGACAGCATGTTGCCTGTTACATCGTTTGGGCTGCCTTGTTGAGCGCAGTGGCACTGAGAACATTATATTTCACTCACTTTAAGCTCTTTTATTTTCCAAATGTAATAGGATTAGTCCATGAATCGTTCGGTTTGTAATGCGTACCGAACGGTTCAATATGAATACGTGTATCGTTACACCCCTAGAACGTACCTGTGTGTTTTATGTGCTACAACTTGCTGCTCCTCATTTTTAATCAACTTCAAAATTTGCGTCTAATTTTTTTTTCTTATTTTTTGTTCCTGCGAAGAAAAATAAAAATGTAAAAGTATTTACATTTAATTTTGAATAATTTTATATATTTTTTAAATAATTTCTTTACATAATATGAGGTCATTAAAGTTGTGTGCATAATAAAACAATAATCAAAATTCTGCTTAAAGTAGTTTTAAATAAAGTATAACGTCAACTAGAACATACAAAGTTCCCAAAAGTATTTCATGTCAACTACCAATTTCCCAGAGCGTGAAGGAAAGTCTTATCTCCTCTCGGGATCCCCGGCAGAGAGGTGCCGAGTTATCTGGATGACTCCAGCTCTGAGTCTGGTGTTTTCCAAGTCCTCTTACTCACTCTCTCTCTTCAACACACATTCACATGTCCTGTCCTCCATCTTTCTCACTGGCATTTTGAGTCCCGTTTATGTCTCATTTTGATTTGACTATTTCAAGTTGTTTTCCACCGCACACTAATGAATTACCAACCGAATATTTCAAACCCGGAGTGATGAATACTCCCACAGTTCTGTCTGCGGAAGTCTGATCGGTGTTGCTGCATTTTTCTCTGAAATTACACTCTGTGCCAGTATGCATGCATGCTTGCTAAATAGAGTGTGTGTTGGAACACCCAGGGTGGTATGATTGAATCCCAGGGGATTTACGAGTGTTATATATGAAAAAAAAACAGGGTCTCCTAGATAAAGTGGGCCTGGGGTCAAGGGTAAAACAGACATTCAATTTATTTACTATCAACAACACCCTGATTTCACCATAAGTCTTTCTTACCCCACTATTGTTTTGACATGAAGTCTGCAAATATTTGCTGATAGGATCCAGAGACCAGTGAATAGTGTCATAATGATTTGTCGGACAAAATTTGATGTACTGTACACAGGGTTAGGATATCACAGAGATAACAAAATTACTGATGTTCTTTACAACAGGTTCTTGGATTTTGTCAACTGTGAAAATGAGATGATTTATTTATGGATGAATGAATTGTCTGTTTTTATCCTTGACATGAAACTGATATTTCTGGTATCATCGTTGTACCATAACCTCCAAACGTGACACCAAGGAGTACATTTTTTAATTTCTTTAAATTTAAATAACAAAACAGCACTGTATAAAACTTACCACCATTAGGACTAATTTAAAGCAGCGTTTCTTTGTGAAGAAACTAATTGTTCAGCCCTCGTTAAACATCAGTTGAAAATGTCGATCCACGTCCAGTAAGATCAGTTTCTCACACACATTTCCTTGAACCCAATCTCACATTCATTTGTGCAGATTACGGGAAACATGCTGTTTACATGTCGTCTCCGGGAGTGTTGGTTAAAACTGCTAAATAATTCAGCGTCTGGAATCCAAACTCCACGGATGCTGGTCAGCGCTGGCCTCTCGTCTGGTGGTATACACCTGGCAGCTCTGATTAATTGACAGCGGTAGTGAGTTGGGGCTAAGTGTGGCTAATGGTGTGCTGAATAATTTAAAACCTGCGCCTTTGAGCAGATGGATGCTGCAGCCGCACACCCCCACCATCCCACCACCGGTCAGCGCTAAACATGCACTTGAGAGAGAACAGAACTGCGCTCTAATAGAGTTTTTGGAACGGTGGACTGTTGAACAGCAAATGCTGATGTCATGAGCGTGATACTGCGAACCTTCCAGTTTATAAATTCCTTTGGTTTTCTTGGACTGGCTATTTTCAAGTTAAGGAGACATCAGATGTTTAGAAATGGTGTGAGAACACTCTCGTTCTCGTGCCTTAGCTCCTAGGCAACTTCCAGCGGGACGTTTGAAGCGGTCTGTCCTAGACGGCTCTTATCTGACGCTGGCGTGCCTCCTCAGTCTGTAGCGTCTCTGTGGATGTGTTCTGGAGAGGAACTGGTGACTGCGTAGCATTACCCCCTCTGTCAGCACTGATAAACTCAACACTAGCCATTGTGAAAGGCCAGAGCTCTGTCATGGCTTTCAACTGATATGAACCATTTCCATTTTTACCTCTAGACAATGTAGAATGCAGCAGAGACCCGTGATATCATTATGAAAGCTTTTATGTGTTCTTTATCTTGTAATATTTTACCATTTGTGATTTTGAAAGGGTTACCATGGTTACTTTGTGTTTAATATGTTTCTTCCCTGGTTAATTTCAACTTGCAATCCATTCTTTAATGTTACTTTATATATTTTTTTACAACGTAATGGAGGTACAGTATTCAAAATTAGGACACACCTACCCATTTTTTATTATAAATTTTTTTTAATTATTGTGAATCATTATAATGGTGTTATAACACAAATTAACATATGACAAACAAATCAAAACTATTTATATTTTAGCCTAGAGAAACTTTGTTAACCAGCTTCACGAGGAGGAATCATCGGATGCGTATCTAAAAGTCCTTAGGGCAGGGGTGCCCAAACTCAATCCTGCAGAGTTTAGCTCCAACTTGCATCAACACACCTGCTGGTAAGTTTCTAGTATGCATATAAGAGCTTGATTAGCTGGTTCAGGTGTGTTTAATTGGGGTTGGAGCTAAACTCTGCAGGACACCGGCCCTCCAGGACCGAGTTTGGGCACCCCTGCTTTAGGGCTTTCTCCTGTAGTGTGCTCTCATTAGTTCACTATTACATTCTTGTTACTTTCAAGTATGTTGTTTGAATGTATGTGTGTGTATTCTGGTTTATATGGTTTATGTCTATAATGACATGGGTACTACAATGTAAACATGGTTTATGAGGACACTTCCTGTTTCTCCATAAATGGCTTAGAAAACATACTAAACAGTGTTTTTTTAAGTCAAAAATGGACTTAGTTTTTTTTTCGAAATCTTAACCGTCCAGTTGGTAATTGGCAGGATGAGGAGCATGATGTAGTTCCTGAGCCATCTGTAGGTGTAATTTGGACCCAAATAGAAATAGAAATGTAATTTATAATTAATAATTAATTAATTATCAAATTATAAATTAAATTAAATAGAAATGTCCATGGCTAAGACTGTGGATGAAACTTCTCGCTTATGCAGTTCAGGGCGAAAAAACAATTTCCAAGAGCTAATTCCATAGCTTGTCTTTGCTCGTTTGAAAAGCATGGTAAAGCAACTATAAAAAATAAACTTTAAACTTTTGACTTGATTGTTTTTGTTATTATTATATTGCACATACTGTGAAAACATGACAGTTCAAAATAAAAACCAAAATAAATTATTAAAAAAATTCAAAACAACAAAATCATTCCCAGCACCGAAATATCTTATTGGAAACTCTAGGCCATACAAGTCTATTTTAGTGTTCGGAGTCTTCTAATGCCAGACCAACAATAGGAACAGACCAAAGTTTATGTCATAATTCACTGAAAATCTACCCCTCCATCGCAGCTCTCAAATACTGTTCATCACGTTTATTTGCAACTCAAGCAAGAGCCAATGAAGGCATCAGACCTTTTTATTTTTATTTTTTTTAATCTGAATGCGAGCTATTCCTTTTGTAGTCTTTTGATGATGAGGTTTTTTTTGTGCCTACGTTTACTAGTTCTTTTTTGACATTTTAGGGTTTGATAACTGTGATAATTATAAACAGCCCTTGTAAAAATGCATTAAGAACCACCAAAATATTTTTCATTTTAATTCCCACAGAAAAGAAAAGTATATGAAAAACAGCATGAGTGAATGTGACTGAATATTTATATTTGTCTACTAAACTAATTTAAGCATAAATCGCCAGATTGTACAGTTTTTGATATCACGAGGAACACACATGTCCAGACTGTTGCCTAGTACTGTAAACAGAGCACAACCCTCAGAATGAACTAAGAGTTTGAAGACATTTTCAGTCCTTCAATCTTTACCTAATCGCAAAACAGCTTGTTTATCAGATAATCACAAAGCCTGACACTGCAAAGGGACACACAGTAGCTTCTAGACCATAACACACCGCCAAATTTAATCAATCACGAATTTAGAGCTCTGAGTGACAGGAGCTGGGAGGCCATTGATTGGTCAAAAGATAGATGCTGCCATTATGGAATATTCTGTGTCAGGGAAACGGGGCTCTAATTACACTAACACGGTAAATGGGCTTCTTGTGTTGTGTGAGCTGGGCGGCTTTTTATGCTAAATCACATTATGTGCAGCATATTTAGCCTACATCATCAGTCTGATCGTTATAGGGCTGACGATAGAACAAGAGCTAATGGTTTTTTGACAGAGTGCTTGATTCTCTAGCTCTGTGTATTTATCAGAACATCAGAGTGCTTTCTGCATTGCGTGATAAAAAAGACAACAGCTCAAAATATAATGCAAGCATAAAATTCTTTAATTCAATTCAACGCACCAAAAAAGGAAAAAGGTTTTTATTTTGTAATAATAATAATGTACTACAACAGTATAAATTCTGGCCATCCTCAAAATCCTTCCGTTATATTGATTAACTATCGCCTTCTTGGTCATTCATTCTTTTACAGGAGTGTTGTTGTGGCCCCCAAGAGAATGGGTGGGGCTCCCTCACCAGGAATGAGTACAGTCTCCGCAGCTGCATCCGTCCCATCAGCCACTGCTGCATCCTCAGGTGGAACTCCAGTCAACAGTGTGTCAGTGGTGTCCGCAGGAGAAACTGTTGAGAGCACAGAGTCTGCCCCAGGTGAGTGTCTTCATGAAAGAGCATGTCAATAACTAGTACAGAGTACTAAAGTTTCATATTTCCGTCCTAGTATAGCCGATTAACGTGAATCAAAATTTCATCCTGTGTTGTCCTTTACATTACTGTATATTACACATAATTTATGTTTGTTATAAATACTCTATAAATGAAATAAAAATAAAAATATTTACAACTGTTCAAAAGTGTTTTTTTAGTAAGTCTCACCAAGGCTGCATTTATTTGATCAAAAATACAGTAAAAACAATAATATTGTAAAATATTATTACAATTGAAAAATTAAAATGTCATATATTCTTGTGATTGCAAGCTGAATTTTCAGCAGCTATTACTTTAGTTATCAGTGTCAAGAATGCTCAAGAAATATTTCTTATTGTTATGTTCAAAACATTTGTGCTGCTTAATATTTTTAGTAATTATTTTGTGGTAACTGATATATTTGTCATGTATACAAAGAAAGAATGGCATTTATTTTAAATAAATATCTTTTGCAACATTATAAATGTCTTTACTGTCACATTTGATCAGTTTAATGCATCCTTGCTGAATAAAGGTATTCATTTCTTTTAAAAAAAGGCGATTGAATGGATGACTCATCGATTAATGTTATTGATATCAATCTAACCTTACTATGTGTGTGTGTGTGTGTGTGTGTGTGTACAGGTATGGCTATAGTTTTGAGGCCCAAGTTTTTGAAAATGCCTTTATAGATATGGTGGAATATGTCAAAAACCTAATGACATCTGAAGTGGTCTTCACAATTTGAAATCCTCATACATCAGCCAAATCATGTTTTTCAGTAGATCTAATCATATCAACAACTATTTGTGAAGATTAGGGGTTGGATTTGAATTGTAGCCAACATCATCTCTATCTAAAAATCATTGCGTCTATGAGATGTTCATTTATTTTGAAACCAACATGTGCGTGCACACATGATCCTTTGTGCATGAAGGGATTGTTTTTTGTTCCCTTTAGCTTTTCTTGTCTTTGAAGTAGTGTACTCATGGGTCTATATCTCATGCTTGTAGTTTTAAGCTTGTCTGTATTTTTATGGTACTCTTGTGTATGTGTGTGTGTGCACACAAGGAGAGGGGCAGGTCCCAGCTGAATAGAGATAAGCTAATTTTCGCCGAGCTGTTTGAAGTGGCTACTTCATCAGCGAGTGAGAGACTCTCCGCAGACGCACATGTTGGTGCTTAAAGAGCCGCTGTCCCCACAGCCAGGAACATTCCATACTGCTGCAAGAGTTATCCGTGCCCCGAGACCCCACGTGTGCTTGTGTAGAGATATTAGTGTATGCAGATTTATAGTGGTGTGATATTTTGTGAGAGAGAGCATGATCGTGCCAAGACCTTCACTAGCCCAAAATGCGTCACTTTCAGGGGCAAGATGAAATTTATTGGCATATAATTATTCGAACACTAATCACAGCCACACACAGGGCTAATGAATTTATGGGCTGTTTTATCAGGGGGAGTGTAAGAGCTGCTCTAATGCTTATTTTACATGAATTCTAACGAGAGCAGAGCTATCATTCAGCTAAAACTCCTTTCACATGGTGTGAGGGCTTCGACATAGATCTTCACTCTTCTCCCTTATATAAAAAAGTGTTGTAGATAGCAGCAGGAAAAGGTTATTTTACTAGGTTGTTAGAAGGGCTAGGCAATATGAATATTGTCAAAGCAAAATTGTGAATATTGTGTTTCATTTTAATGCACTTTATTTGGCGTTAATTGTCATAAGACACATTTAACGATCTTTTCTCGCCTAGTGAGAAAGACAATGATTACACATATGTGCTTAAAGCAGCACTATGTAACTTTTTCTGTGTTCAAAATTTGCAAAATGTATATAATGAGCGATTACATCATGAATTCATCTTCCAAACCGCCTTTTTGTCTTATTCAGAATCACTGCGGTACACTTATAATAAGTACTTATATTTGGACTATTGTAGCCTGGTCGGGTCATCACCGCTGCGGAGTAACACATACCTGCGTGAATCGCCATAGACATAAACTTAGAGAAGTAGCTCCGGTTGGAATGTTCTTCCGCAGGATGTGTGCAGTTCTGTTTGTTAACTGCTAGAGCACCAAAAGTTACATAGTGCTGCTTTAAAGGTCCCATATTGTCAAAACTGAAGTTTCCTGGCTTTTTTCATGATAACTGAGGTCTAGGTGCTATGTAACTACCATATAGGTTTCAAAACAGTCAGTCCACAGTAGGGATATGCCAGTATCAATTTTTCATGTTGGGATTAATTGCTAATGCTTTTATCACGGTATGCGGTATTATCACGATATTGACATTTAGTTTAAAAAAGTGCTGTCATAATACAGTATAACATATTTAATAACTTTTTTCTTATAACAAAAATAACGGAACATTTAAATGCAATAAAGCAATACAGAAAAATGTATAAAGTTAAAAGTTTTACACAGATTAAAGTGCAAAAAGTTTTACACAGATTAAAGTGCAAAAGAACTATAAAGACCAATAGATATCACTTTACAATAAGACCTCATTAGTTAACCTTAGTTAATGCATTAACATTCACAATGAGCAATAGCTACATTTGCTACAGAAGTTATTAATCTTTGTTTATTAGTATAAGTATTTGCTATTGACTGTTCATATGTGGAGTTTTGCGCGGCGTGTGTGTGTGTGTGCGCGAGAGAGAGAGAGAGAGAGAGGTGTGTGTGCGTGCGTGCGTGCGTGCGAGAGAGAGAGAGAGAGAGCGAGAGCAGTGTGTTTGTGTGCGCGAGAGAGAGCGAGAGGTGTGTGTGTGTGTGTGCGTGCGAGAGAGAGAGAGACAGGGTCACATCACAGTGGAGTCAGCTGTCTTAACCGTGGCTTGTGTACTACAAACACATATTCATCACTGTGTCTGTCACTAGACTCTGTTCCCCTTTCAGGCTCTATCTTTACATTTATTTTGAAAGATGAAGCTTGCGATTATGTTAAGGGGTGTTAGATTTCCGACGAGTGCTTGCGGTGTTCAACCAATCACAATGCACTGGGTCAGCTGGCCAATCAGAGCAGACTGCGCTTGTCGGAAGGAGGGACTTTGTAGAAAACGAAGCGTTTGAGAGAGGCGGGGCATAGAGGACCTACAATAATGTACAGTATTTTAAAAAGAATGTGTTTTTTGAACATTAAAGCATGTCAACATATTCTGTTACACCATATACACAAAATAATGATCTTTAAAAAAGCATCATATGACCCCTTTAAATGAATTATTAGTATTAGTATTATTATTATTTCTGCAGTTTAGCACCATCTGCTGTCAGAGAGTGAAAGTGCGCTTTCATCCAGAGCACGTTCCACCATGTGCTTCTCGTCCGCGCTTGTTTACGTCTGAGTGCGCACGCGTCTTTCACGCAGCATACAGCGGTGTTGTGCCTTTTGACCAGTTGATGGGAAAAGTATTCTTAAAATGCATTCAAAATTCGGAATAATTTGTAATATATAATTATTCACGGTGTTTAGAAGTGCCCACGATAACAATATTGTGCATATTCATTACCGTGATATATCGCATTACCAAATACTGGCACAATTTAGCAGTCCACAGTAAAATTCACACAGCCTGCATAAAGTAGCTGTGATTTTTCACGAACCGTTGTGAAAAGTTGATGTCAGAACTACATAGTCACCTCCTTCAGTCACCACCCCGAGCACCGCCCACCGTCCCACTCTCCTTTTGCCAAACCCCCAGACAACATTGCGGAAACATGTCGAAAAGGTTCACTTTAACCACGAACCCAAATCGGCCGACCTGTAACGTTACACTCCCACTCAAAGGATGGACGATCTGACAGGATTGTTACTATGAGGTGGATCACATCTAACCTGTATAGTAAAGACAAACTCACCGTGTCTATCTAGTCATGATGAAGATGTATATACGTTTCAATTTCAGCAGGCAACTATTTTTATAGCTACATTATTGTTCCAGCCACAATCACAACAATGTATTTACAATTACAAATGATTATATATAAATTGTCAGTTTGTTGTTTTATACACATGCACACAGACATTATTTCATACATGATAGTCGTGAGATGCAAGAAACATAGACATATGGCATGAAATCTGTAGACGCGCCCATAACAACAAAAGACGATATTTTATTGAACCTTTTCTGATAAGTATGAGCTGCAAACGCGAGCATTTTTGACGATCCTTTCTGTCCAGTCTGCTCTTTTTATCGCGTTTAACCACAGCTGTCATCGGTTTTTTGTCTGGCAGGGGCAGCAGATATGCGATCAAATTTCTAATTTGAGGCTGTATTATGTCGATTCTGGCACCCAACATCACAACAAGATGATATTTTAAGCTCCTTATGTAGCCGAATCTGCGCTGGTTTGAATGGGCCGCCTCCAGTTTCCCCTTTGTTTTGCTGCCTCCAGCTAGCGCAGTGATGTCGGCTGACCCTAGTTACCTGTGGTTGGCCTGGCCATGCGTCACTCAGAAAACAACAGGCCAATCAGAAGAGAGGCTCATGTTAATTAGACAGGCCAAAATCGACCTGTTCTCAGCAGAGCTCCTGAGAAAGGAGCTGTAAAAATATATTGAGATGGTTTTTGGTACTTATACCGCAAATATATATTCTTAAGGACATCACAACCTAAAATAAAACTCCAGAAAGATGTAAAATATGGGACCTTTAAACTTCAGTAGCATAAATGGTGTGAAGTAATCATTTCTGTGTTCATCACTTCATACTGTCTCTATTAGGTGATCAATTCATGGTTCAGTGATTCATTTGCATTTTCACGTGCATTAATAGTACATGGATTAATGTTTAAATTCTTTTTGTAAAAATGCGCTACTGTTCCAATGTTTTTGAAAGAAGTCAGTGCTTAACAAAGCTGTATTTATTTGATAAAAAATAAAGCTACAATAAAAATTATGATACAGTAAAACAGTAACATTAAAAATGTTATCAATAATATTATTATTATCAATCTTGAATACAGTTGTGCTGCTTAATATTTTTGTGGAAACCTTGATACATTTCTTCTACCCATTTTTGATGAATAGAAATTTCAGAAGAACAGCATTCATTTGAAATAGAAATCTTCCGTATTGTTATAAATGTTACATTTGATCTTGACTGTATCCTTGCTGAATAAAAGTATTCATTTCTTAAAAAAAAAAAACTTACTGACTTCAAACTCTTGAATAGCAATTAATTTTTTTATAATGTTAAATGGTGCTTATAAATTACAGTGATTAAATTGAATTCTTAATATGTGCATTTAAGAAAAAAGTACATTATTTTAAACTAGATTTTTGCTGTTTCCTTGCATTAAATATTGTAAATCAGATACAGTAGATAGTAAAACATTTACTCAGACTATTATTTGTTCTGTTTTATCTTTTATGAATGATATTAATGCAGATTATTTTTGTTTCCCAAAAAAAGCCTAAAAAGCTAAATAATGCAATACAGATATTTCCTTTTTTTTTTCTTTCAAGTTCACATAATTCTTTTGTTTCTGCTTTTAGACAAGTATAAGCATTATAGTAACATGTGCTTGTTTTAGCTTAATGCATCCCTGTTTTGTTTGGCATGTGCGTATTTGGGTAATGAGTTGTTTACTGGTTGTATTCTCTGCAGGAGGAACCTCCACCAGCTCCAACCTGCCATCTGTCCCTGCTTTATCCCCAGTGACCCAGAGCTCTGCCCCCAACATGAGGTCTCCACTTTAAACTGAAATCTCATGCTTTATTTTAAACAACCTATGGATTTATATTTCAGAAATGCATTTTTTTTAAATGCATGATTTGAAAAAAAGTTATGTCACACTCTATTAAATATTTAAAGGTGTGTTTGTGTGTGTGTTTTCAGTATCTCAGAGAGGTTGGAACATGCTTTGGAGAAGGCAGCTCCTTTACTCCGAGAGATTTTCGTGGATTTCGCACCATTCCTCTCTCGCACATTGCTGGGCAGTCATGGACAGGAGCTGCTCATCGAGGGCACCAGTGAGCTACTGTTCTACTCTTATTACTGACATTTGTGGAATATTCCACACAAATGCATCTTATCTTTGTTACAGTTTGAAGTGGGGTTCAGTTCACATCATTACATGCAAACACAGAGACATCTTATCACTCCCAGTATGTTACGAAAGTACCTCTCTCACCTCTAACCAAATTTAAGCAGTAAATGTGGCTGGAAGTATCTTTTAACTCAGTGATTATAATAGCAGTGTTCTTTTATAGAGCAGAGGGTCAGAGGTCAGCACACTCGTACGAGTGTTTGGCCTGTCCACTGCCACCCAGAGAAATGAAACGCTGATTGATAGCTGCAGGGCAACTTTAGAGAGCCACTTAAAGCAAAAATGCTTCCTTCCTTCCTCTTCCGCTTCCTGTTTTTTCTCACCTATAGCTTTCATGTTAAATCTTGTGTGCACATTCTGCATATGTAGTTCCCTAGCAGCTTCTTTAAAGCTGAATTTCAGATCAATAGAACATATGCTCACCATATTTAGTCTCGTGTAATGCAAGGCCCAAACATGTATTAGTTTACAGTAGCATCGTGTAGGTTCATTAAGGTCATCAATACACTTTGACCCCTCAAGATGGCGCAGAATTAGACCACTCACAAATGTGTGTCAGCAGAACAGACACTAAAAATGAAATGTTTTTAATGCTAATAAATATGTTTCCTCAATACTACTTAATTTCACATTAGAAATCTCATAGAACTGAATTTAAAATATTTAGCGCACATTCTGCATATGTAGTTCCCTAGCAGCTTCTTTAAAGCTGAATTTCAGATCAATAGAACATATGCTCACCATATTTAGTCTCGTGTAATGCAAGGCCCAAACATGTATTAGTTTACAGTAGCATCGTGTAGGTTAATTAAGGTCATCAATACACTTTGACCCCTCAAGATGGCGCAGAATTAGACCACTCACAAATGTGTGTCAGCAGAACAGACACTAAAAATGAAATGTTTTTAATCCTAATAAATATGTTTCCTCAATACTACTTAATTTCACATTAGAAATCTCATAGAACTGAATTTAAAATATTTAGTATAGATTTCAACACAAATAGCCCAATGTTTATCACTAAATGATGGAGGATAACATTTGTATTTGCCAAATTATTTACAATATATATGAAATCGAGATGGGTCTTTACAAAAGTAAAATAATTTGCAGTATTTTTACAGTGTTATTGCAAGAGCTTTCTTGATTCTGTTCAGTCAGTTGCAACATTTAGCGATCAGCTATGTTAGGTTTGTTTTGTTACATTCAAAATCTTACTCATCGGTAATGGTTGAAAGATTTCATCTACTAAATCTGAATTGAAATTTCCTTTTTCTTTGTAGGTCTTGTGTGTATGAAGTCTAGCAGTTCTGTGGTTGAACTGGTCATGCTGCTGTGTTCTCAGGTATGTCATTCCTCCATCTCCTCTCAAGTTATTCTTTTTTTCCCCCTTCACCTCTTTACTGTTAATACAATCCATTGTAGCAAGTGTTATCTTCACACTGCCAGCCCAATTCCTGTCTTACTAAGCTATGAGTATAGACAGAAGTCCAGAAAAATAGCCAGGGAGCCCTTTTTAATGCTGTTGATATGAGTTCAAAGGTCAGGGGTCTTGACCCAATGTAACGGCCTTGGTCATATAGCCAGTCACAGAGGATAATGCAACATTGATAGCGTTTCGTGATCGATCAGCCTCCCCATCAGCTTTTGCAGAGTATTTAAGGCAGGTAGGATGAAGGATTGATAGCAGAGCTCTGTGTTCTTGAGCGTGTGTGTCTATGTGTACTTAGTTCGCTATAGTTTGGGAAAGAAATTGTCCCCAAAAGTGATCTAAATCTGACCAGTCCTCTCTTTGGAGACATTCGAAGACACTGTTATTTGGAAAATTGATTCATAAATAATGTGCATACTATTTGTATTGATTTATTTGTTTATATATTTATTTGAAAAAAGTACAGCAAATACTGTTTTTTTTGCAGAAAAGTTTAGAGAAAAATCTATCTGTCTATCTGTCTATTTGTCTATCTGTCTGTCTGTCTGTCTGTGCAAAGGTTAGCCTGTAGTCATTATAATAAACTTTATATAAAACCATTTACATTGCAAAGTTATAGTGTCAGTGAGTTATGAGTGCATATGCCGCCAGTGTTTATTAAGAGGAAATCAGTGGTATGATGGTAGAATAGTGTGTGTAGTGAGAGAGTGAGCATGTGTGCATTTGCACCCTTTTGAGTGTGTGTGATGGTGATGGTGATGTGCTAATGGAGGTAGCCATAGATTGCCCTTAGAGGAGGAGAATCACTGAAGTGTGTAATATTCTGTCACTTCACACACACACACACTCACATTAAGTCGGGGGCTACTACAGTTTTAAGTGATAATCATTTTGCTTGTGCAAATGTTTATTCAATTGTTCAGTATTAGCAATCCATGGAAAAGGTGAGAATGAATTGTGGTTTACATGCAAATGAGTAATACACATAACCAAGCACTCGTTGTCTCTTTCTTTAGCACATTTATTTTGAGTACTTCTCGTTCTCCTATAACCCTCTCTGAAGGTAATCCAGAGAGATCAGGCATCAGACGGGGCGTCAGGGGCCGCATATATTTGCAAAAGTGAGGCGTGAGGTGGGGGTCCCTCTGTGAACCCAAGCATCTAGAAAAGAGGGAATAAATGACACACTCTAATGCACCTATTTGTCATATCTGTCACGCTGTTGTGTAATGCTAATCTAATCAAAGGGGAGAATTTGGGTTCTGCCTGCCTCCACTGAAAAAAAGCCTCCGGCCCAAACCCCGTTCCAGTGGCGGCACATTGCAGGCTCTGCGCTGCTACGAAAAGGCTGCGTTGCTGCTGATTACTTCAATAAATCATCTCGACTAAATTCTCTCAAAGCTAATGCAAATGTAGTTTTATTGTGGGGGGAGAAACCATGGAAAAAGGCAGTGAAGCTCAAATGAGGTCTTGAGCCCTGTTTACCCCCAGTTAAATTACACAGTCGGTTGTAGGGGGATAATTTTGTTTTATGAATGTGGAAGATTTTTTTTTCTTTCTCTTATTTGGAAAACAGAGACAAGTCTGGAAGAAGTTTAGGGTCTCTCATTGATCCTGTGGTTAATCAGGACATCCCCGCGCAGGAAGTGCTGTTGTCGTAGACAGGAAGTGAAGCAGTGTATTTGCTGACAGAATAGGCGATGAGAGGGAGGATGTTGATGGATTTAGTTTCTTTTGCTTACATTTCCTTCTCATCCCAAAATAGAATCCAGGCGGATACGGTACTGTCTGCACAAATTTTCTAATTAATATCTATGGTACAAGATGGAGTAGGTTTGGGGCTAGAGGTCAAAGGTTAGGGTCACAGACTAGTTTTTAATCACTCAGGATCAGGAGGGTTGCTCTGCTGTTAGAAAGCGATTCTAAACTGCAATTTTATTGCATCTCTCTGAAATGAATCCCTTTATTCCCAACACAGGATCAATTTTCATCATCTTCCATAAGCCTGTTGTGGTTTATTGCTTTTCACTTATATGTGTTTTATTGATAGTTGTATAGAGCAATGCTAGACATATACAACTTTTCTGTATTCTGTCTTTTTTGTATTCTATCTTCTAACTTTGTTCTTTCATAAATATGGATTTGAACTTATCTATATATCTAATATATTATACTCTAATATATTTTACATAATGATTACGGATATTATTGTTAATGTTAATGATTAATGTGTGCAATTAATTTGCTTGACAGCATTTGTCTGCCAGTCCTTTTGCTTTGTAAAAAGCTGGAGCAAAAAAAATTCCAAACTCTTTAGTGTTATTTAAATTAATGTTCATGATTCAGTACAAGTTCAGTCAGTGGCATATGTGTTAACAATAAAATACTATGATAGAATCACTTTCCCAGTCCATAGTCATAATCAGTTTGTTTGCATGAATATGTCCATGTGCATAGAACGGTAGTTCCACAACAAAAATTATGATTTAGACAACTTTGCGGCTTAAATTAGAGACATTTTAATGATATAATTAATGTGCAAAAAATTATGGCCTTCAATTATCAGTCTTTAAACCCTCTTTAAAGAAATTGACAATGTTTGTCATATATAATTTATTATTAATTAAAGTTCATATTTTTTTGTGTGTGGTACAATTATGCCATAAAGGATGTGGATTAAGCTCAACTAGCATTGAACCCAGACCATTCCTTCAATATTTTCAGCCAAAACAGAGAGAGCAGAACAGAGGGCAAAAGAATAATGAATGTGGGTGAGAGGAGAGAGAAAGGATAAGAGTAAAACAACAGCTATCAATGCATCCGCTCCGTTTAGGAAATTGCCAGTGATAGGGCTTCAGATTATGTCCTGCATATTACATGAAGATCATCTTTGAGTGTCCTCATCTTGCCATTCCAGGCATCCACGTAAAAGCCTTGTGTTTCACTCAAGCTAATTCTCTTTGACAACCAACACACACACACACACACACACTGCTTTACTGAACAAGATATAGCACCTGCTGTCGTGCTGGAGAATATCACTTAAAAAGGTTTCAGCTTTTTAATAAATAATGCCACCTGCATTGAGACACTCTGGAGTGGAAGCTGCTGTTCGGTTCATATACTGTAGTTGTTGTGGATTTGATTGTAGATAAGCATGAAAATACATGCAAAAAGAGTCTTGTAAAATGCTACTTTATATAAGCATCAGAAAAGCAATCGCAAACTGCTCTCCAAACAGAGTTGGTTTGGAAATCATCTCATTCGTCTGCTTGACAGTGGCCTCCTGATAGCTGTGTGTCTGTCAGATATATATGGGAGTCGGGCAGCCGTGTTTCCCTATATCACCCATTACCGCTCAGACCTTGTGTCAGGTCATCTATTCTTTAAGACATTTATCTTCTGAATGCCTCACATGATGGAAAGGCTGAGGTACAAGAGCAAGAAACAGTATCTTCAGGCATGTTTGCGAAAGGCCTGCATTGGTATTGTCTGTTTTCTCATTTTAACAATGTGACTTTTTTCCAATCATGTATTTAGATCATAAGCTACCCTAAAAGCTGCCTATATATTTTTTTCTCTCCTTACTTTGATCACCATGGTTTCACATCTGCTGTCTTGATATTGTTGATGATCGTGACCAGGGAGTCTTTAATGTAGAGTTAACCTGTTAAACAGATGGGCACCTTCGTCAGTCAATACATACTGGAGACACTGACTTACCCCAGAGCACTTGGCATTTCTTAACCTCTGACCTTTAGGAAGAGGATGGAGAGTGGCCAGTGGCTCAAGAGTTTAACCCCCTACAGTCACTGTGACTTTGGGATCAATACTCGCAGGGAGAGCAAAAGAAAGAGAAATCGATCGGTCGACTGTCCAGTGAAAACCCTCAGCGGTGTCTGTTCACTCGATCTCTTCATCATTTCTCAGCTGCGCACTCTCTGTGTCAAAAAAGACACCAGTTAATGAGACCCCGTTCATGAAACACATTCAGGTTTCTGTGTAAAATGTCTTTTAAATAGTTCTTGATAGTTCTAGTGTCATTAAACTGATATGCTTCTTTATCCTGTGATGGCCGAGGTTTAACTAAGGGTGAATTATTGGCAACTGTAAGGATTCTCTACTTTACAGATCTGATTATCTGTTTAAAAAAAATTAATTTTAAAAGTGAATGAATTGTAAGATGGCCATTTTCAAGAGTAATTATGATAACAGACAAAATTTTCTTTGTCATTTGCACTTTTAAATTGCGTTAGTGTCGGGATAAGTTATTGGCCGATCTTAGTGTTAAAATATCAGAGACTGGTACCACTAGAAGAAATTTGTTCTGCTCCTTTTCATGAATGAGGCCCAGGATTCCCATATTTACTGGTAAAATATATGAGAAAAACATCACATGCGATGATCTCATTATGCCAGTTTGTTTTAAAAATACAAATTTTAAATGCAAATAAAGTCATTTACGGTAATTCTTCTATATGGAGAGGACAAACACTGCAAATGGATATAAAAATGAATTAAACAACGAATAAAAATGTGAATATTTAAATCATGTGAATACTCTTAAGATTTATGTGTACTCCGTTTTACATATTTGGTTATCAACTAGTTTTCCCTTACTTTACTAAGTGTAATTTGACCTACTGTAAAAGATCTTCAACAATTCCCTTTCTTCTTCTTGCATTTTTAACACAATATAAATTGAGCTTTATTGCTCTGTCTATTTATTTTAATGACTGCAGTTCAGTTGAGTAAGCGGTATGTAGCCATATGTGTTTTGGTGCGCAGTGTGTTTGAATGGCCATTATCAATCACGTTATATAAATCGCTTTGGTCTACAAGACACAGGCCCTTTCTTAAAACAAAAGTAACACAACTAATATTCCATGAATTATTGTATTGTTGCTTAGTTT